TCAGCCAGGGTCAACCCACCACAGTAGGTAATGTTTTCAGTGTTGCCTCGTATTGCTGCTGTTTAGGATGTTTGTTACGCTTGTCCACACTGCTGCATCTCTGTGGAACCAGTTGTTGGGTGATGATTTGCATTGTGATGCAACAGAACGGAATATTGGATGGCAGATTCATTTTAGATGTTCACATCTTGAAGTTCTGTAGTGAATCCTTTTTCTGTCTTCAAGTGTAACTGACTTACAGATAATGTACCAAGGCCCACTTCTTCATAACTGTAGATGGTAATTGGAAATACTAATATATTTTCTTGGAGGCTTTTGATTATTGGTCTCCTTACAGGCTTTCCAGACTTCTCACCAGAAGAGTTGCGTCTAGAGTATTATAACTGCAGAGAAAACAATAACATTCAGAACTATGTAAGTATTTAAAAAATGACTTTTTATGTGAACACATTTCAAGATAGGATTTGTTACTATTCTTCAGGTGGCAACTCTTGCCTCAATTACCAAACTCTAGGAGATTATCACAATGCCAAAATATTTTTAAATTACTGCGCACCAAAAGACGTGTAGACGTGGCGCTTAGGGATGTGGCTTAGTGGTGGACTTGGCAGTGCTACGTTAACGGTTGGACTTGATGATCTTAAAGGTCTTTTCCAACCTAAACGATTCTGTGATTTTATATATATATAATATGTATAATACATATATCTGATTTTATATGTATTGTTCCTCCCCCATGGTCCTGTCAATATCAAGGAAGCTAGCATAGTTCAATACTGTGCTGGGAAAGGAATTAGGCTATTGGATAGACAGAAGTACAAACTAATTCAAATTACATTGCATTCTTTCCTCTTCCCCTCGGTTCTGTATTACAGAAGGAATTGCTGTTGTCACCGCTTTTGTTCTCTTGTTTCACATGTTTAGAATTACCAGAATTGCCTTTTCAGAGACAGGAGAAATTTAAAAAAAAAAACAAAAAACAAACAAACCTTCAATTAAAAAGATAAACTGAAATGGTCTACAATACACTATACCTGGCTATTAAAAAAATAACCTGTGACTTCACTGAAGCACTGAATGCAAGTTCATTAAAATCTCAGTGTATAGATGATAATCATATGATACAGTTCTGTCACAAAATGTTTAAGTGCAATATGTCTTTTCCAAAGCATGTGTTTCTATTCTTAAACTGAGTCAAAATCTGAATTTTCCAGTCTGTTGTATAAGAGCTGATACCAAGCAACATGATCTTCCAGCATGTGACTAGACACAAAAGAATTATTGATGTTTGTGATGTAAGACCCTTTTGAAAAATTAAGGAAGTTATTTACGAAAAGATTACTCATTCCACTCTTGCAGGGATTTGAGATATTATATGTTTTACTTGGTTAGCTTTTAAAGAAAATTCAATTAGGTGAGGCTTCAAATAAGGTGTGTTGACAAACTTAAATACAGGAAATTCAGGTTTGAAATTCCTGAAAAGTTATTTATTTAATGACTTTCCAGTTTCTTGTTTAATCACAGTTATCAGATAGATACAAGTACTATTTATTGCTGTATATGTTCTGCGCAGTAATCTGTTGGATCATGTTAAAGGGGCTGATTTAAGTCAAGGAAGTTAATTTCTGCAAAGCTAAATATTTGAGGATGATACTATTAAAGCGTTCTGAATTATAATGGTCTGAAAGTGGGCATTTTTTTTCTGAAAATGGGGGAGAAGCTAAGGCAAATCTTAGGACTTCAGCTTAATAAGCAAGCACGTAAGTGGGCAAGCCAGAAATAAAACAAGGATTGAAGAGTTTGTTTGCTTATACTTAAAACTTACATATTTTCTGTGTGGCTTGTTGTGACGTTTTTTCCAAGCACCTAATTCAGATAGTGATAGAACTTAGATTTAGAAAGCCCCAGGACATTTTTAAAATCTTACTGTTAAAAAAGTTGATTTAAGGGCAATAGTAAGAGAATTGAAAGGAATTCTGTGTTAATAACAAAAAAATTCAGCTTCTTACCTTGAAGTTTCAGGAAAGCAAAAATCTTGTCGTCTTGGTTTAATGAAATTTCTAATTCTAGAAGTCTTCTTTCGGTGTAGTTGTCAGATGACTCTATTTTCTATTTCTTTAAGTCTTCACCAATAATAAAAACATGCTTTTCTTTTCCCCCTTTTTAGATAGATTCTGTCCAACAGTTAGCAAAACAATGGAAAAATCGGCTGCTTCAGTTGAAGGCTTTAAATGCATCGACAAAAGCAGCTTTGGTAAGTGTTAATGAAAGGTAAAATATTTCTGTTCCTGATGTAATTTTTTTTATTAATCTTGGGCAAATATTTTTCTTAGATTCATGGTTTTCTAGACACATCCCACCAAACTGTCCTGCAAATGCCAACATTAATTTCTGCTACAAAGATTTCTAAGACATGATAGTTGTAATATGTCACCTTGTTTTTAATGATCTTGCAAATGTTCCATAGAAATGTCAATGGTTATCAAAGTAATTAACTACACTTCTTCTAATGTTATATAAATAGGTGATAGATACTGCTTTGAAGATTGTAGGATACTTATTTTACAACCAAACGTACACGATTCTTTTAGGGCATCCTTGTTTGCACCTAAATAGCTGAGACATGAAAATGTTTGATTTCTAGATTCATTGGCAATTTTAAGGTAGATCTATGAACCATTCTGAAAATCGCGACTACAATGTGTTGTATTCTGGCATTGCGGCCTTGAAAAACGTGTGGCATGAAAGTGTCTGGCTGACTGGCTGCAGAAGGACCTTGACAGTAATCTTAGAATGCTCCTGGGAACACTAGAGAAAGTGGAAAGGGTATAAGGAGAAATTACATAAGAGAATAATGACTGCAGTTTGAAAACTGCCCCATCTCTCCATTGGTGTGGTGTTTTTATAGGTGATAGAAATGGGACTGAATATTCTAGCACCTCCGGAGTCAGGTGAACATGCAAGTTTGTGAACACAGTTTTGGGTCTTACATCCACCTTTCTCTGGAATCATGAAATCAGTGAATTGCAGACGGGTGTTATAAAATACGTTAGCTAACTAAGGAAAGTAGTGAATCAGGATGGTTCCACATTAGCAAGGCAGCAGCTGGATCCCAGGTTTGGAATACTATCTTTGCAAGCCACATGAAAGTAACCGTCACTTAAGGTTGGGATTCAGTCAAGTACATTTGTAGTAAGAGGCAAATAATCCACTCCACCTTTTCTTCCATGTGCTGATGTTCACTCTTCCAAGGTATGATCAGCAGACTAGACCAGAATTATCCTCCAGGCCATCGGAGAATAAATAGAGCATTTTGGTAATGCCAGAATGAGAAATTGATATAGATGGGGGAGAAACTGTTTGGATAAAATTTGAAGTTATAAAGAGTAGTTGTCCCTGGGAAGGCGACAAACACTTGTGAATCTAGATGTGTCAGAAAAGAACGCATGAGTTAAAGCCAGTATTAAATAATCAGGGAGACAGAGTATGTTGATTTCAGTGGAGTCTGCATGAAGTGCATTAAAGTTTTAGTATGATGAACATACCCCTTGGTACGTTCAATGCCGAAGGTGAAGAAGTGGGATTTGGGCTTTAGCACAGATGACTAGATGTGCCAAGGTGAGAGAACAGACCAAGTCAAAGCAATGACATAGATAAGGTCATAAAGCACTAACTGAAATGGGTAAGAGATGAGAACAAGAGCTGGAAGAAGGTTCAGGTCACTGACTGACAGACAAAAAACTGTAAATTGTAATACATTTGTGTTTGGGGAGTGTTTTACACAGAACAGTGTACAGTCTTAAAGCATTGTGTTCATAGCTGCAAGAGCATGGAATCATGATGAAAGTGATCAGTGTCTAATGTAATCTAAGTTGTATTAAATTGGACTGGGCAGCTATATTTCTGCTTCAACTATTTATTGAAAGACATTTCCCTGTTTTGGAATCTAGTTTTCATTTATGTATTTGCAATTTTTTAAGCTATCTGAATTAAAAAGCACAGTCACTCAACCATTGTCTGCCTTTGGATTTGGAGGACAGCAAACATCAAGCTTTGGGTTGTCAAGTAAGTTCCTGCATTAAGAACCAACGGTTAAACTTTTTCTTGAATTTTGCTGCTTCTGCATTATTGAAATATAGCAGTGGGTTAGTATCACAGGTGTGCGCATTCTAACATTTTTTATAAATTTTCTAATTGCAGGCTTTGCTGTGAACAGCAGCAGCAGTAACACAGCTAGCAGTTTCTCCTTTAAAACCAATTCCAGGCTTGTCATTGCCTCATCTGGAAATGCCCCTACTTTTGGGAGCTCTTCGGCTGCTTGCAATCCTGCAGCTGTTGTGACGTCCTCTCCCAGCGTATCCCATTCTGCTGGGTTTGGCAACCTGGCAGTGGCTCCGTCTGCAGCCTCCTTCTCATTTAAAACTTCTGAAACAGCCAGTGGTTTTGGAACTTCTGGGTTTTCAGGGTCTGGCAATTCTGCTGTGAACTCTTCAAGTGCCTTTGGAGCTCCTACTGCAGCAGTAGCAGCTTCTTCCTCACAGTCAAGCAGTACTTTGGTTGGACAGAGTGCCAGCACCTCTGGACATAACACCACATCAGCGTCTTCTGCAGACACAAACAATACTACTTCAGAAAAGTTATTTACACCAAAGAGCGAATTGTCAGCTGAAGAGTTGAAACAATTTGAAGCAAAAAAGTTTACATTGGGAAAGATTCCTCTTAAGCCACCACCGTTAGAGCTTTTAAGTATTTAGGACTTAAAGTTCATTATGAAATAACATGGGTTTGTAACTTCTCTGATACCTCAACTACACAATTTTGTGGTCAAACAATGAAATAAAATGTTTCCATTTGAGTTAATTTTTGTTTTATCTCTAAGTCTTCTGCAATAATAAACTCATAGGTATAAACGTTTGAACATTCTGTTTTATCCTTTCTTGGTTGTTTTGGAATGGACCTTTTACATCCAAGAAATGAACTAATTAAATTCCCTTTTATATTCTTATTTTTAAATTTTAATTGTGGCATTCTGGGCAAAACTATATTAAAGAGTCAAAAGTAATACTGCTTGGGTGAGGTATTCACAGCCTACTGTGAGTAGAATGCTAGAAGGAACCAGTTGCAGTGCAAGGCTGCTTGTTGTTGGAGCACCTTGTCTTTTGTCCCTTATTAAAAGGGTTCGTGCAGCCTTTGACAAATGTTTTTGGAGATAGAGGGCTCTCATGTGGTCTGTCACCCAGGAGGCAGTTACCTCTCCCAGCTGATACAATTCAGCTTCAGTTAGTTGTTCTGCTTGAGGTCATAACACATGCACTAATGCAATAGAGTTAGGGGAGGATGGCCTTGAAAGCATGTGTGATGAATAAGGAGCTCCTTGTTGGCTATTTTGACACCTCTCAGATACAACTTTGCAAACAATTGCAAAATTACTTACTGCATTTATGTGAATTGATAATATTTTGTTGTCTGGTTCTCAGAACTTGATGGGTACATGTACTGGCAATAGCTCTTCTGAATTTATGATGCAAAGGTATATATTTTGCCAAGATGCTATAGAGCAGGGGTTAGAAATCTTCCAGAGTCAGGTGAAGAGAACATTTGTTCTTCACCAGGCCCTCCCATTAATGGTTTAAAATTACCAAACCTCATATTTCAGAGGAAAGCAAAAGTTTACTCTAGGATATACATAAATAGATTGTTCCTTTAACACCTGAAGATGACACTTCAGTTCTAGCTATGGACCCATGGTCCTACTTAAAACTTCACTACAGCTGTGTTTCCTACCAAAGGTCCATAGCATACCAGAAGAGGGCTTGCTAAAATGGTGTGAAGGAATTTAATGTTTAGGGTGACAGGCCACGGGTAGGCACTCTGCAGGCTTAATAGAAATCCAGGTTCCTCAGTTTGCTTGCTCAGTGTAGGTGTACCAGAAACTTGCATATGTTATCATCTTATAGTACTGAGTTGCTTATATGGATTTTTCTGGTGAGTCTTTTGTAGGTTAAATAAGGCATCTGGTTTTGTTACTGTTGTTAAGGACCCAGCGCAGGCTTCCTGCAACTCACAAACAGAATACTGATACATTGGCCCAGAGTTCTGTTTAATTCTGATGAAATGTGTTTTTCCAAGTGGGGTCTCCAGAGCAGCACTAAGACTTTTACTCTCTCGATCATTTATGCCAGTTACTCAGATTTTGACACAGGAGCTGAGGAACATACCAAAAAGCCATTATGCCACTGTACTTGCAGGAAACTCCCCCATCTTTACAGATAGTGTTAAATTCACTTTTGTAAAAAGTTAATATTTAACAACAAAGAAACCAAAAAGTTTGTGGCTTGTCAGATGAATGCAGTAACTGCCTGAACTCATTCCATTACATGCTATACCCTTTCCTGTATTTCATCTGTGAAGCCTTAGCCCAATTGTATCAGAAAGCTACAATTTTATTTATTTAAAGTGCCTATAATTTTTATTATTAGTAGTATTAAAGCAACATTCTAGCATAGCAAGAGTATATTTTGTGGTAAAGGTACAGAATTAAGTCTTGCTGATAACCTTAAGGATCCCATGGCATGTTTTAGAGGACTGTGGATGGTTCTGTCTTATATTGAACGTGGTAATAGTTTTGAAGTCACCTGTGCTTTCTTCCTAATGCTCATCCTCTTACAATGTTCCCCTCTGTCTGTCAGTCATTTAAGTCACAATTAAGGATAAGCTACCTCTGACAAATGCCAAAGCTATCTTTACTAAGCTGAAGTGTCTTTATACACAAAACCACTGCAAGACTTTTTGAGCTTCTGTACCTGCTGGGCTATGTAATAGCTTAAAGCAGCTTGCTTGGAACTTAAGTGATGAGCTAAAAACCTTTAGTCTGTCTTAAGGGTATCTCAGCAGGCTGTTGCTGCTAAGCTGCACTAAGAGCTTTCAAGGCTCTAAAGCACACAAGTGCTTTTTTAAGTGGAAGTGCTTTTGCTTAAAAAAAAAAATTTAAAAAATTGCAAGGCCATGAAAAAATTATGACTAATCTATCATGCATAGCCAAAAGCGCATTGGCTAGATGTTCTCAAACATCGTTCTAACCTACAGCAAACTAAGGGGAGAAGGAAATTTAAGTTTTAGGTCACTTTGCCATTAAGAAATAGAAAAGTTAAGGAAGGTATTTCTCATTTAGATGAAGATAAATTAAAAAAAAGTTTGATCAAGTTTTTTTGACCAAATGCATTTTTTTCCAGATTCTCTCCTCACCCTCAAAGAAAAATTAAAAAAAAAAAAAAAAAATCACTATTACAGAGATACAAGGACTTGATGTTTCATCCCAAATGGGCTTCTGAGCATCTAAAGATGGCAGAGAGCAGTGTGATATGACTGAGCTAGCAAAAAGGGAGCTGTGTATTTGGCTGCAGAAGGAGAGATAAGGACAGGATAGAAGAGAAGGAAATATTATTGCTGCAGTTGGTTTATTAAACTGCAGAAAATAAACAACAATTTGTCAGTAGATTAAAGCAATCTTTCCCAACATTTGCACTGTATTTTTTTTTCTGCTGTTCATCCTGTGCTGCTTTTGGTATACTTGGTATCAAAGTTGGGTGCAAGTACAAATGTTGCTAAATAATACCTTCCTTCTAGCTACAATCCTTTCATTTTTTTTAACTCTTCTTTTTTGCAGCTACTTTTTTGTTTGGTATGTGTGTTGGTTTTGCATGGCAAGGTTTT